CTACAACCTCTTTGGCCGAAAAAATGCTTTTAAAAGGCTCTGACGATCCCAGCTGAGTTGCCTGATCATCAGAGGCTTTTTTTTTCTTTTAAAAGCATTTTTTTTTGCTTTTAAAAGAAAAAAAAAGCCTCTGACGATCAGGCAACTCAGCTGGGATCGTCGGAGCCTTTTAAAAGCATTTTTTCTACAACCTCTGACCCTTACAAGCTTTGGCTCAGTCCAGTTAAGGCTTTTCACGCTCTCCTTTTCTGATGTTTTCTAAAGGGCCTTCAGGTCAAAGTCCACTGTTACTGTCTCTAAGTGGAAATTACTCTGCACCGCTGCTGGTGACCAGTTCAGGAAACAGAGCCTATCTCCACTGGTCCTCTGATCATGCCTACAGCAGGAAAGGTTTCCGGATCCGATATTCTGGTGAGTAGGGAGTGTAAAAGAAGTCTGATCATCGTTGCATAAAGCCGGGGCAAGCTGATAAGAAAATGCTCCTTCTTGACTTAGTTTTTCTAGTATTCTAAAACTACCCGTGTTTCCCCGAAAATAAGACCCTGTGTTATATTTTTTTAACCCTGAAATAAGCGCTTGGCCTTATTTTCGGGGAGGTCTTCTTATTTTGGGGTGTGTGGAGGAAACCAGAGGAAATGGAGGGGAATGGCTGTGCATGCATTTAAATATTTTCAGGGTACTGTTTCTTCTGGGGATTATTAAAGGAAATTACCCTAAAAGGATAAAATATTTAATCATTCATATACTGTAACTACAGCAGCTAGAATTGTACTTGCGCAAGCCTGGAAAATGTCCACTATACCAACAGACTGTGCAATAATCCGGAAAATTTTTGAATGTGCAGAAATGAACAAACTTATTTTAGAATTAAATAATAAGGAAGACTCGGAATATTACTTAACTTGGGAAAATTGGTATCAATGGATAGAAATTAAAAATAAGGAATGTATAGAATAAAATAAGATATAAAATGTGTTTAAATAGGTTGATTAAGTAGGAATATGTGAGAATAGATGAAGAAAGTTGAGAATTACGTACTGTCAGAAAGAGGGTGAATTGTATAATTCTTACGGATGTATTTTTGTCATAGAGGTATTTTAACTTGTATTTTTGGATTTTAAATGTTAAAGGTTTATAAAAAAGTTAAAAAAATAAATAAATATTTTCAGGGAGGCCTTATTTTCAGGGGGGGGCTTATTTTAGTGCATGTGCTCAAAAGCCCAATTGGGCTTTTTTTCAGGGGATGTCTTATTTTAGGGGAAATAGGGTAGAAATGTATCTCATTATTTTTCCCATAGAAAAATTACCCAACCTGTTTGCATTTTTTTTTTAATTTTGTTTGCTTTGCTTTTGTTGTTTAATTAATTCCTTCCTTTCACCCACCCTTTCGGTCACTGAATCTGAAGTCTTGGATTAATGCAATTTGCTTCTGAATAAACATGAACCAAATTGTGCTGTAAATTGAATCGCATTCAGGGTTACGGCTTGCACTTTTTGTAGTAATTAATTTAGCGAAGGGTATTTATTATTAATTACAGCTGCATTGAGAAAGAATACACCATGCTAATCTCGAAGTAATACTATGGCGCATAAAACCAAGAGCCGTTATTTATTGCAGGTCGGCTAATTTTGTTTGCAACTGTTTAATTTTATAAACACCACAATCTAGCTTTTCAGTTCACCATAAAACTTTTCGCGTCATGGGTCATACTTTCTCAAAGTAAGAATCGCTGAATGAGAAATAATGTGGTTTATTTCAATATGGCTAAATAGAGGTTATTGCTATTTAGGGAATAATCCATGGTTTCATAACTAAATTCTCAACAAGTACTCTGCTGGGAGAGAGAGACTGCCATTGTCGTAGGAAATTATTTTGATCCATCTAAAATACAATGTTGGTTTATCACTGGGAACTATTATTTCATGGTCATATGGAGATGACATACTGTAACTGTGAAATAATCATAGGTACCATACCAAAAATATTCTTGGGTGACAGAAAATCTGCGAATTGACCAAATTTCCATCTGTCAATTCAAAAGGCCACACTTTTGTGAATATACGTGAATTCTCACATATATTATGCCGAGACATTACGACATCCTAGATTCCAGGGAAAAACTTGATGCTATGAAGTCCAACACCAGCTAAGAACTGGCTGCTGTGACCTCACATTGTGCTGAAGTAATAATAATAATACAAGTAGCCCTCGACCTACGACCGCAATCGAGCCCCAAATTTCCATTGCTAAGTGAGTCATTTGTTAAGTGAATTTTGTCCCATTGTACAACCTTTCTTGCCACAGTTGTTAAGCGAATCACTGCAGTGGTTTAGTTAGTGACATGGTTGTTAAGTGAATCTGGCTGGACCATTGACTTTGCTTGTCAGAAGGTCGCAAAAGGGAGTCACATGATCCTGGGACACTGCAACCGTCATAAGTGTGAGTCAGTTGCCAAGTGTCTGAATTTTGATCACATGACCATGGGGATGCTATAACGGTAATAAGTGTGAAAAATGGTCATAAGTCACTTCACTGACTTCAGTAACTTTGAATAGTCAGTAAATGAACTGTTGTAATTTGAGGACTACCTGTACTAGATGGCAGTTGGGGAAGGCTGATATATAGATTAGTGGCAATTCATAACAAGACTGTACTTTTTTCCTAAATCTGACATAAGAATTCAAGTCATCCATGCAGATTTAAAATATACAACTTATTTCCATACATCAGATGTAGCAAATAGTGCAGTTTCCTGTTATCATTTGAATTCTGAAAGTTCAAACTGACAGATTTTAGCATTGCTAAGTTTGAGGAACGCTACACCTATCAAAAAAAACTAAAGTGGAAGGAAATGAGAAAAGTTGACCTTTGCTTCGTATTAGTCATATTGTTTCCCAACCATTGCCACAAAAAATCCCACTAAAATGCATTTTTTTAAAAATGTGAATTACATTTTTTTTCTTGTCTACACCCTCTTGGATCCTGCATATTTGTGTGACTTGAAGTGGCTTCCAAGAACTAAACTAAGCTTAATTCATAAAATTGCAATAAAAGAACCATAAGATTGTTTTTTTTTAATGATTGGAAACATTTTGCTGAAAAAAGACAAATTATCAAATTGTGTTTACATGGAGCAAACCATTAACATTTTCATGGTGGATGTTTTATCCTGGTCCTGATTTCATATGAACTTTAATTATTCCACCTTTATCAAAAGCAATTATGAAAGGTTTGGCAAAGAGTCCCTCAAAAATTAAACAAGCCATTCTTGGAATAAAGTAATTTTTTAATTACTTAATGAAAAGCAAGCAAAACTGAGGCAGGGACATGCCTAAATGGGTCATAAATACATTGATGGTGTTATTCTCTAAATGAATGAATTAATATTTAATTGGAAGAAATTATGTTTTGATTTATTTATTTTTTTTGCTGAGCGAACAAGAGCAACTTTATTCCACTGAGATTTTTGTGGCTTACTTTATCATTCCAGTTTGCTTTTTAGCGTCCCAAATTATTTGCACTCTGAAGGGTTAGAAAGCCAAAAAATTGAGAAAAACCAAATATACCCCAAAAAAACCAAATATAGATTTGTTTTTTAAATGTAATAATATAAAGGTAAAATGATGTATTGGTTTTGATTCACAGCAGACTTAAATGAGTGCTACTCTAAAGATTGTTGTATTACAACTATCAGCATTGATGAGAAGCATGAATTATAGTGAAGGATTCTGGAATTTGTAGTTCTGCAATATCTGGAGTGCTTCAAATTATATATTTCTAACTTTAAGGATGAACAAAGTGTACCAATATCTAAGCATTTGAATTCTTAGATTAATAATTATGCAAAAAAATGGGTCAGGGAATCTAACAATCTCCTTCTGTCCTTTCTTTGGGTCACATCAGGAATCTAACATGAACACCTAACGATGTTTCTAAGCTCCAACGATGCATGTTGGGAGCATAATTTCTTGTATCTCTGGGAGAAGTTCTATTGATTGAGGAAAGCATATCAATATCTTAAAAAATGTTTTCTACTGTTCTGGTTATTTTTTTCTTTTTAAATTAAATTTTTAGGCTTGTTCACCATAACTTTCAACTTTCTAAGTAAAAAAGGAAGTGAGTTAATGTTGCCCCTGCCTCATTTAAATTGAAGTCCTTTTAAGTCAAACTCAACTATGTAGTTTTTTGGGAACAGTACGGAAGTGATGTGAGATCTCTTAAAGGTAAATGTACTAGTTGTTCCCGAGTCTAGGGGGCGGTGCTCATTTCTGTTTCAAAGCCGAAGAGCCAGTGCTGTCCGAAGACGTCTCCGTGGTCATGTGGCCGGCATGACTCAACGCCAAAGGCGCATGGAATGCTGTTCCCTTCCCACCAAAGGTGGTCCCTATTTTTCTACTTGCGTTTTTTACATGCTTTCAAACTGCTAAGTTGACAGAAGCTGGGACAAGTAACGGGAGCTCACCCCGTTACGCGGCACTAGGGATTCGAACTGCTGAACTGCAACCTTTCAATCGACAAGCTCGGCATCTTAGCCACTGAGCCATCGCGTCCCTGTGAGATCTCTTACTAGGATGCTTTTTGAACTTTTCAATTTAGCCCCTAGTTCTGGAATTTCCTGGTGGCTTTTCCATCCATGCACTGAGGAGATCTAATGTGCTTGATGAGATTAGCCAAATAGAGTAAAGTGTTGCATTTTTTTTTTTTTTTTTTTAGCGTATGGCATGTGTTAGCCGGGATCATCGAAGTGGCTGACTGCCTCTGTGAAAGGAATTTTTTCGGGCGGTGTTATCTTGCCCGCAGGATGCCTGAATGCCAGTAGGCAGTCGGGGGAGGCTCCTTTCCTGTCCCTATGCGGTTTATTCGCTCACGGGAATCGAGCCACCGAACTGCTGACCTCAGAGGAGCTCAGGCTCAGCATCTTACCACATGAGCCACCACGGCCCCCAAAGTGTCTCTAAGGATGAATAACTCTAAAGAAACTTCTTTGGGGATCTGACTGAAAGATCATCAGAACAGCTGCTGAGGGGAACAGTTTGGAAAGGAAGTGAGATCAGAGCAGTTGGTCTTTTATGGAGGCAATAGTGGACATTTGAGGAAAATAGAGGACATTGGGGTAATTTTAAGTAAAAGAGAAATGTCAGGGGTGAACCTCATAGTTCTATGACTTCATCTTCTCCAGAACTTTCATCAAAATGCAATTTTTAACTCCCTAACCTCACTCCAATCTCTTTTCACAATTGTTGATAATAATTTGACTTGGTTCAATATAATCAGCATCCCATAGCCTGCAGGATTGGTAAGGCCATATATCACCTAATAATATTATTACCAGGAATGTGTGCTGCATTTATAACTGAAATGGCGACTTTCATTATATAGCTGGACTATAAAGGTATGAGAGTATGCATGTGTATGTCTAAATTGAAAAGTGGGTGAGGAAAGAAAAATCTGTGTTGGATAAAACTTAGAGACCCATAGTCAAAATACCATTAAGAAGTCAACCCTGGTTGTACGAATGCTTCTGTTTAGCCCTATTAATTTATACCATGTTTTAAGGCAGCTTCCTACAATCTGGTGCCCTCCAAATGTGCTGGCACCACAACTACAATAATTCCCAGCTAACCAACAGCCATGGTAGCAGAGAATTCTGGGAACTGTAATCCAACCCATCCGGAGAGCACCAAGTTGAAGGAGGCTGTGTTGGTAAGTAACAAAAGATGAACAAGACAGGTTGGGTCTATAACATAAATCAGGGGTGAAATGCTCCCGGTTCAGACTGGATCGCCCGATCCGGTAGCGATGGTGGCGGGTGGTTTGGAGAACTGGTAGCAAAAATCCCTGCCACCCCCCCACACACACACCATGCCCAGCTGAGCCTCACGATCATCAGAGGCTTTTTTTTTTTTTTTACTTTTAAAAGCATTTTTTCGGCGGAAGAAGTTGTAGAAAAAATGCTTTTAAAAGTAAAAAAAAAAAAAAAGCCTCACATGATCGCACGGCTCAGCTGGGATCTCAGAGGCTTTTCAAAGCATTTTTTTCTGCAACCTCTTCCGGGGAAGAAGTGGTTAAAAAAATGCTTTGAAAAGGCTCTGACGATCAGGCAACACAGCTGGGATCATCAGAGCCTTTTCAAAGCATTTTTTTAACCACCTCTTCCCCAGAAGAGGTTGCAGAAGAAAATGCTTTAAAAGTCTCTCTGATGATCCCAGCTGAGCCGTGCGATCATGTGAGGCTTTTCTCTGATTGTCAGAGAGACTTTTCAAAGCATTTTTTAAAACGATCAGGCAACTCAGCTGGGATCATCAGAGAGACTTTTAAAGCATTTTTTTCTGCAACCTCTTCCGGGGAAGAGGTGGTTAAAAAAATGCTTTGAAAAGGCTCTGACGATCCCAGCTGTGTTCCTGATTGGCAGAGGCTGCAAATGCAAAAAAATGCTTTGAAAAGTTAAAAAAAAAAAAAAAGGCCACGCCCACCCAGTCACAATAACCCCCCCCCACCAAGCCACACCCACAGAACCGATAGTAACAAATTTTACATTTCACCCCTGACATAAATCAGCTATTGGGAGAAAACTCAGCATGGTTTGGAAACATGGAAGTAAAGTTAACAAACCAGTGGAAAGTTTTCCTCAAGGTGAATATGAGAAGGTAAGTTTTCTGAGAACAGAAGCCACAGTGTCGTGGAATAGTGACACTATACAGTGCAGTGTATGGTCCCAGATGATGTCTGAAGGTCTTAAATAACATGTCTTAGATACTGGGCTCTAATTATTCTATGTGAAATTATTATTAATACTATTATTACCTTCCATGCTTCACACAAGCATGAACTTCAGCTGTCAGCACTTTCAGCCATATCTATGCCAATTGGGAAATTATGACAGCTATAGTCCATCCATCTTGAGGTTGTGTGAGAAGAAGAAACTGGTTTAATGTATGAATGTGAGCTGTGTCTATAATAATAACAGTAATAGTAATAGTAATAGTAGAGTTGGAAGGGACCTTGGAGGTCATCTAGTCCAAACCCCTGCTCGTGCAAGAGACCTATACTAGGGATTTGAACTGCCGAACTGCTGACTTTCTGATTGACAAGCTCAGCATCCTAGCCACTGAGCCACCTAGCCAGGTCTGGTTTATTTCCAAAGGCATAGTGTTAAATCTCAGTGGCATGGAGGTACTGTGCCAAAGGCCTACAGCTGAGCTTTGCAAGGAGTGGAGTTGAGCAAAGCCCATTTCTCTTCACATGTAAATTGTGCATTGTTCCATGCTTCTGAGTATATGCATATGTATGTTTTCCTCCCACTTGTCTAGCCCCTTATTGCAGCCTCCCTCCAGCACCTCTCCATGGCTCTATCCTCAGCCACTCCGGCCTTCAGTCAGGAAGCACCATTTGGTTCGGTTGTGACACCGGCTACCGCCTTGTTGGCCACAGCTTTTCAACATGTTCGAGACACCCCCAGGGTTACCACCACTGGAACAAAGCCATTCCTCTGTGTCAAGGTGTGCAGAAGACGAACGACAACCGTATATACTTCCCGTTGTTTATTTGAACATTTATCCCACCCTGTCTTTTTGACAAGGACTCTACTGCAACAGGTTGGGTGTTACAATAATGTAAGGTCAAAAAAAGGGCTGGCTATCCCAGTGGTCGGCAAACCACGGCTCGCGAGACACATGCGGCTCTTTGGCCCCTTGAGTGTGGCTCTTCCACAAAATACCGAAAAGTCCACAAAGTGCCGAAAAGTCCTTCAGCTGGTGAGAAGAAAGCTGCGTATGCGCGAAGATGGCGGCAGTGACCGGAGGTCTTTTCGGCACTGTGCGCCAGTGGCTGGGTAGAAAGATCAAAAGGTGCGGAGCAGTCTTTAATTAGATAAAAGAAAACAAACCACTGAGGGAAGGAGCCCACTGAAGCTGCCGGCGTTGCAGCCGCCCGCCCCTCCCCGCAGCTTGGAGCTCCAAGCGGAAGAAGTCCTCGGCTGTTGCAAAGAAGCGGCAGCTCTGGGTGAGCCATGCCTGCTTCTTTCTCTTTGAGAGCTGCTTTGCAAACAAGGTGCAAAGCAGCTCTCAAAGAGAACAAAGCAGATGTGGTGCACCCAGAGTTGCCACTTCTTTGCAACAGCCGAGGACAGAAGAGTTTGCTCAGGAGCGATGCCAGCAAGGAAGGCGGCTGGGTTGGTGGGAGGCATAGCCCGAGCTCTCTGGGATGGGTAAACAAGTGTGGGGAGGTGAACGGGAGGGGACTTGGCCCTCCGCGTGTTGCATCCCCTTCCCCCTACTTTTTAATTGTAGTTAAAAAGAACTAATTCAGTTAATAACAATGTACCTACCTATATAGTTTAAGTTTAAAAAATTTGGCTCTCAAAAGAAATTTCAATTGTTGTACTGTTGATATTTGGCTCTGTTGACTAATGAGTTTGCTGACCACTGGGCTATCCTAATATCCAAAATGTTGCATATATTTTATATGTCCCCAATATTCGAGTTTAACTCAGGCAAGACTGTTTTTCCTCTTTCTCTGACTTGGAGTTGGTTTTTCCTCTCTCTGTAATTTTTGCAACTGCTCTGACATTCGTTGGTTCCATATTATGTTAGTTGAGTGGATAATTTGACCATCCATTGGACTGTGCATCCTTGTTTCCAATGGCCTCTGTCACAATGAAATGTGGCATCAGAAACATTAATTTGTGGAGGTGGTGGGGGGGGCGAACCAAGCTATGTTTTCAAAATTGTTGCAGGATCTCCCAGCTTTCCCTAAAACTACCCATCAAAAGGAAAGCTAAAGCTAAGTGTGGCTTCATCCTCAGCAGAAAGCTTTGGATAAAGCCTGAAAGAGTTCTTAGTAATTCCTTGGAGCCTTCCAAAATGGAAAAGATTTAAGCTAGTCTTTAACTGTCATCAGGTCTTTCTGGTGAACTTTGCACCATTTATCTGAGCAGAGCAGAGCTACGCAAGCCTTACTAATAATACCCCTTTCTCCTTGGAAGAGGAGAAGTAAGGAGGGAAGAGAGATCTGATGAAAGAAGCAGTTCAGCCTAGTCAGCACACCTGAAGTTGCCATGGCAACTATAATTTTCAAAATCCACCAGAAGCCGCACATTTAAACCCAACAGTGCAATATGTCTCTAACTTGCCAAAGCAGGAATTAATTATCATTGCCTTCTGGAACGAAGAGTCAGCTAATTTTACTGGGTGGAACCCAGGGCATTCAAGAGGTACTGTGGATGCCCTGGATTAATAATGAAAGAGTACCAATAGAAGAGAATGTCTGTGGCTGAAGGTTGAACTGTGGAGTCCTTGGTGCTCTCTGAGCTTGGCTGTTTGCTTGCAGATATTTCGCTACCCAACCAGGTAACATCTTCATTTCAGAGAACACCAAGGACTCCATAATTAAAGAGTTTTCAACATCATGCAGATATTGCTTTGAAAAATGAGGAACGTTTTAGCAGGGTTTCCTGTAGAGATAACATATATAAGATGGTGCATTTTATTTATTTTGCTTTATTAGCTTCACTCGGTGAAGGGAATCAAAAACACATTTTGCTCATTGGAAGTAGAACTTGGTTGTCTGCAGCAACTTGAGTTTGCTTGTTCTCTTCCAGAAATGTCTTTGAGTGCCTCTCAGCCTACTGACCACTCGTAGGTCACATTTCTTCATGGTGTGGTACTGGAATATTAAACAATTGCTAGGTATCTTAAAACATGATACCTACACATTTGCACTAATATCAGTTTCTTCATAAGGTAAATGAATGGATAAAAGTTTGACGAGCCATGATTATTTTTTATTTTAAAGGTTCCTACAGTTGCTTGGGGAATAAGGATCCAAGGCCCTGGTTTATGGCACAAGGACAGCCTCAGAGGCATTAGCATGAATGTTAGGGTTCGAAGCAACCAGGGCATTTCCACTCAACCTTTAGAATTTCAGTATTTATAGTCACAATTACATCTGGTATAGAGGTAGGTTTCAACAGGTTCTGACCAGTTCTGGAGAACCGGTAGCAGAAATTTTGAGTAGTTCGGAGAACCGGTAGTAAAAATTCTGACTGCCCTGCCCAGTGGTGGGCTGCCCCCGGTTAGCACCGGTTCTATAGAACCAGTAGTAAAACCGGCGGGAGACTCCGCCCACCGACCCCGACGTCACCAAAACGCTTCTGCTCAGAAGAGCGCACAAGCGCGAGCGAAGCAAGCGTATGCACGCGGCCCCATTGCAAACTGTTAGTAAAGGTAAGTAGAACCCACCCCTGGCCCTCACGAGTCCCAGCTGATCAGGAGGACATGGAGATTTTACAGTATCCTTCCTCTGCCACGCCCACCAAGCCACGCCCACCAAGCCATGCCATGCGATGCCCACCAAGCCACACCCACAGAACCGGTAGTAAAAAAATTTGAAACCCACCACTGATCTGATATCATGTTCAGGAACATTAGAACTCTCGATCCATTAATTTAGATCACTTTTTTTTTTCCTGAATAAACCACAATGGTTGTGGTTGACTTGGAAGAGTTAGCTATAAATCCTGATTCACAAAACACAGCACAAACCAGATCAACCATATTTTGTCTTTGGTCTTGTCTGTGAAGCCCATCTTTATGCGTTATTTTTTTTCCCCTTTAAAAATCATATTCAGAGGCATGCCTTCTCTTTCCAAACATGTAACACAACTCAAACCAAAGATGGGAGGTGCTACTTGCTGCAAACAACACCCCAATCATTAATCCGAGACCTGGCAGGGTTGACAAAAGCTGTAAACCTCTCACCGCCACTGAAATCCAGCCTCTGGTGGGAAGACAGACGGAAGAGGGGAAGATAAAGATCAGAGATTGCCTGGTTAGACTTACTTAAGCTTCATTTAGAGCAGATTCATTTGCAATAATAGTCTTGCTCCTTGGGGCTCAGTGAGGCAGAATGATTTGTTCAAGCTCCTGGTAACTATCCAACCCCCCACCTCCCTGCTTCTAAGAGCTCCTTCCAAAATAGACTTCATTGCTCTTTTATTGCGTCCCTTGACCTCTAGCCGCTCTTTGTCTTAGCATCTCCCAGGAACCGGCTTCCTCCGATTCCTTAAACAGGAGCTGCTTTCAGGTTTTCACAATCAGATTTGAAGTCCTTTGCTGCCCTTGTCAACTCATTCCCGGCTGTGGGAGTCGGGGTCTTAAAGAATCGGCAAATCGTTGGGCTTAGAGCTGGATGTTTTTTCCTCAAGCAGGATCGTTGAAATATATTAATGCCAAGAAACATGAAGTAACATCAAACATTTCCTAGCAAATCTTTGTCAAAAGCCACGTGGCTAGAGTCCTTCTTAATGACTGGTTGTTTTGCAACCGTTCAAAATTAGTCTATGGAGATTCTTAGTCATCCAGGTCATAGTTGTCCCAAATGTGGTTTTTCAAAAGACAACTGGACTTTGTTTTTCCTTGAAGATATTCTGTTGTTCATCAATAAGCTTCTTCTTTTCTTTTCTTTTCTTTTCTTTTATGTACTCTGAGAGTGTATGCACCGAGACAAATTCCTTGTGTGTCCAATCACACTTGGCCAATAAAAAAATTCCATTCCATTCCATTCTATTCTATTCTACTCTGACTGAATGTCAGAGGATGGAAGGATTTAAATTCTTAATGACCAGTCATCTGGTCATAAACTGAAGAAGCTTCTTGGATGAGAAACAAAACATCTTCTAGGAAAAACGAAGTCCCATTGCCTTTTTGAAAAAGCACTTTTGGGACATTCAAAATCAGGAAGGCCACAAAATGGCTGCTTTATGACCCATAAAGCACTCCCAGACATTGTAAATGGTCACCATGGTTGTATGGCCACAAGTCATGTGGGTCAGGCTTTACAACCAGCTCTGGGGTGCCACACCCATATAATAGCAATTTGCAATATTTTTTTGCTGCTATTTGGCAAAACCCCCCAATTAAATTATTGGGTTCACTTAACGACTGCCATGAAAAAGACTAGAAAATTTCTTCCAGTCGTACGGGTACCTTGACTTACAATCACAGTAATTTAGGACTGTAATGATGGGCCCAATTTTGTTCATAAATTGAGGACTATCTGTAATGATATGTTCCTTTAGTTTGGACATTTTGCTGATGCCTTCCTGTTTTGTCCAATCTTCTTTAATTTCCTTTGCATTCTGAAGCTGATAAATGCCAGCTAAGTTAACATAGCTAAGTTCAACTTAAAATGTCAATATTTTTTATGGATGATTATAAACCCTAATACACAAATAAATAGCAAATGCTTACTCTTCTTTAATAATCCAAGTGATTGTGTTTCAGTCCCTCTGCATCCCTATTGGGTGATGCTCCCAAATTATCCTCTTAAATCGGCAATCTAATCTGTAAAATAACAGATGTTCTGTTTCATTGCTGTAAAGATTCCATCATGCCATATTCTGCAAAAGAATGCTAAATGCTCCAAATTAGAATGTTGCTTTGATGCAAAAGTGCACAAGAGATGTTTCCATCTTGTTTGATGAACCATTTGCCTAAATCCA